GTCTCTGTACATTGCTGCATTCATCTTTCCCTCTATCCTGACTAGTTTTTTTTTAGTTTAATATAAGTTAAATATTTAGTTACTTAACACCATACATTTTATTAAATAATGGTTTGTAATTACTGTGATTATTTTACTCAAAAAAATGAAAATGAGATTTAAAAAGGTCAAATTAAAATGATATAAAAGGATCAGTCGATTAAAAATATTGATAACAACTAGTTATCATCATTGATTATACTGACGAATCACAGCAACCTAACTTTACACTTCTGTAATAAGTTTCAAACAATGTAAGTTTCAAAGAATGTTCAAACAAGCTGCAAACAATGTAATGTACAGCCGGTTACAGGGGTCAGAGGCATTCTCAACCCTCCCATTTTTCCAGGGATTCTCCCATATTTTACAGTTCTATACCACTATCATCCTGTAAAGGTATTTTCTCATATTTCTTCCATATTTTCAATCTCTCTACGAAGGGTGGCATTAAGCATTAAACAGTGATCCTTCCTATACGCAACCCATACTACAGAATCCACAGGGGACACCGCTTGCTGTTAAATGTTAGTCTGTTCTGTGTTTTCATTTTATTTAGGCATGGAAACACTTTAAAATAAATATAAAAAACGCAATTCACTTCCTTTTTATTACAGGTGCTGTAATAACAGTCGTATAGCGATGCATGACTGTCAGTTGACGTGCTCTATAGTGATAAATAGATGCAGTTTCTAAACAAATTCTATACACATGATTTAAAGCTGAGCAAAAGTCTGGGTTTTAGGTTCGTGTTTGAACAGACATATACAGATAATTAATAATAATAATAATAACATCTAAAGATGTCGATCTTGTTGAGCTTATCCAAACACCACTAATTTTGTCCTAAATGAGCATAAAAAGTTAGGAAAGAAATCGAATGCTTTCATTATAATGTTAGATGTGTGTATTTTTTAAGTGACACCTCTGTTATTCAATGTAATCAAAGAAAAATCTAAATAAATTGTTATGGTGGGCATATCGCTTATTTTAACATTCCAATGTTGACAGATATTGTCAGGGGGTAGAAAGCAGTAAACAATATGTAGAAAACATGTCAATTGCAAAACATTGTCCTTTTATAGAGCTCACTTCTAATGAACTGGTTTTCTAAATCAGGTTTGTTAAACAAGAGAGACAAACAAAATGTGTGGCGGTTGCGAAGACCACAATTGAGAACTGCTGGTATAGCCTAATCACAAATAACACACTTCATATGCACTTGTGGTTTAGCACAATGAAGCCCTGTCCACATGAACATGGGTATTTTCAAAACCTTCATTTTACTACATGGTTTGGCTGCTCGTCCAAATAAAAACGTAATATCAGGTCACTAAAATTTTATAAAAACTCCAGCAGGATGGAGATTTGTAGAAACTCTGGTAACTGTGTGGTCATGAGGCCACTAAGTTTTTGACACCAGCATGAACGTTATTTTCTGCTTTCTGATTGGTTAACACAGCTTTATTCTAAGTTCCTTAACAATGTATCCCAGTGCATACTTGCTTTTTTATGTGGATGGATATTTTTTAAATCAAAGGTGGGAAAATGGTGTACATGTGGACATAACAATGTGGGCATGAGTCTGTTAGATCCACAGGACAGGGTGTTACCAACAATGTTTAAACAAGCTGCAAACAATGTAGTGCAAATATACAGTTGAAGACAGTATTATTAGCCCCCCCTGAATTATTAGCCCCGCTGTTTATTTTTTTCCCCAATTTCTGTTTAACGCAGAGAAGAATTTTTCAACACATTTCTAAACATAATAGTTATCTCTAATAACTGATTTATTTTATCTTTGCCATGATGACAGTAAATAATATTTAACTAGAAATTTTTCAAGACACCAAGGTTAATTAGGTTAAATAGGCAGGTTAGGGTAATTAGGTAAATTATTGTATAATGATAATTTGTTCTGTAGACTATTGAAAAAAAAAAAAAAAAAAAAAAAAATATATATATATATATATATATATATATATTACAGGATCTAATAATTAGGTCCTTAAAACAGTGTTTAAAAATTTAAAACTGCTTTTATACTGTGAAAATGTCCTTGCTCTGTTAAGCATCATTTGGGAAATATTTGAAAAAAAATTCTAAATTCTAAAATTCTTAATTCTAATAATTCTGACTTTACAGACCCCCTTTACAGGGGTCAGGGGCATACCTCTCAACCCCTTCCGTTTTTCCCGAGATTCTTCCGTATTTTACAGTTCTATCCCGCTATCATCCTGCAAAGGTATTTTCCTATTTGTCTTCCGTATTTTCAATCTTTTTATGAATAGTGGAAATAAACTTTAAAGAGCCTGTACTCCCTATAATCAAACCCATACCTCCGAACCACAAGGGGACGCCCCTTGCTCTTAAATGTTAGTCTGTTCTGTGCTTTCATTTTATTTAAACGTTGTGCCTCATAATGATTAATAGACAATGTTTCCCAAACAGATTCTGTACACGTGATTTGAAGTGGACCAAAAGTCTGGGTTTTGGGTGCGTGTTTGAATAGACATATACACATAATTAATAATAGTAATATCTAAAGATGTCGATCTTGGTGAGCTTTTTTTGTCCTAAATGAGCATAAAAAGTTAGGAAAGCAATTGAATGCTTTCATTATAATGTTAGGTGTGTGTATTTTTAAAGTTATACCTCTGTTATTTAATGTAATTAAACTAAAAATCTAAATAAATGAGATTCACAGGATGGGGGGTTGCCAAATTTGGTCCTCGAGAGACACAGTTCCGCAGAGTTGCACTCCAACCCTAAACAAACACACCTGAACAGCCTAATCAAAGCACACGGGTTACTAGAATGCTAAAGGCAGGTGATGTTTTTATCAAGACTGATTTAAAGCTCTGAAGAACAGTGGCTGTCTAGGACCATTTTTGCCCACCACTGACAATAGGGTCTCCTATTCATCCTTTTAGCTTTCAGGATAGTGCTGGCGAGTGCCTCCTTTCTGGCCACTTTGTGCAATTTGCTGAGACTGAAACAATCTATGAGCAGACTTCTACCTAACAAATTGGTGTCAAATAGAATTTTTGTTTCTGGAGGTTTTACATGGATTGCATGAAAAAGCCTGTAAATGGCAGGGAAGTGTTGTGGCAAAAATTATGTACCGTAAGATTCCCAGTCACTGGTGGAGAAAGAGTTAAAGACAAATCACATATCTATTCATCTATCCTTTCACCAAAATGTCAGCTAAAATGTCACCTTAGTCCTTAATTTGTATAAATATTTTACCTTTCTCTGAACTTTTACCTCTCCTACTCTTGGTGTCTGCTGAATCGCATGGCTACATGTATATTATGTTTGAACTTTTGCACAGATTCTGGCAAGTAGCCTGACATGGTTTTAAAATGAAGAGAACTTCCACCCATCATTTAAAAGCCTCTTCTTTTCAATGTCTTTATCTCTCACTTACACACACACACACACATGGCCATCCCTAGCGTGGGCTCGTGGGTGGATTGAGAGGACCAAAAAACAGAGCGAGAGAGGCCAAGCCCTAACCCCACTCCGGTCTCTTCATCTCTTCCTTCTTCCCTCTCTCTGGTTCTAAATGAAGGCTATGTGTGCCCCTTGCCCCCTTCTTCCCCTCCTCCTCTTCCTCCTCCTCTCTCTCTGCTGCTGTGTGGAAGATGGCCGCTGGTCTGAGAGTAGGTGGGTGAGACTCATTTCCTGTGCTCCTCAGGGCCTCGTTGCTCCAATGGCAGCAGCAGCTCCCACCATCCAGGGGGCCTGTTTGGTAGCAAACACGGGGCGTCTTCATCTTCTCCTCCATCTACTCTTCCTCCTCTTCCTCTTCTACTGCCGCCTCCACCATCCATGCTACAGCCCCCAGGGGCCCACTATATGCCACAGTCTGGCGGCCCCCCAGACAAGCTCTATGCGGAACAGGCCCCGAAGGCCTCACCCACTGAGGTAAGTCCAACAAACACCCAATAGGCCACTTATCTTTCAGTTCTGTGTCTCTTGATATATCTTTTTTAAGAATGTCTTGTTTCTGTAGATTCACTGTTTTTTTTTTTTTTTTTTTTGCTGCTCTGCTCCTGCAAGTTCTTCGCATTTTTAATTCATGTTTCTGTCTTTTTCTTTTTATCTTTCTGTGAGCAAAATAAAGACCAGTGCACAGGTTCATAATGAATTAAAATTGCCATAGTGCATGAATGTGTGTGTGAATGTGAAAGTCTGGGGGTGTTTTCTAGTACTGGAGTGTGGCTGGAAGGGCATCCACTGTGTAAAACGTATGCCGGAGTAGTTGACGGTTTATTCTGCTGTGGCGAGCTCTAATAAATAAGCTGAAGAATGTGAATGAATGAATGAATTCTTATGGCAATTAGTAAATATTTAACATTTTGGTGGGTAATTAGTCATTTGTATAAAGTTATATGACCTGTTTTTCCAGCTTATGCCACAGTGACAGCCAATTATTGGTGTGGGTTTCATGCTTAACTAAAAAAAAAAAAACCTACAGATGAGACTGTATGTATTCATTTGAAATTATGTTCTCCTGTGAGATCAGCAGGCCTTAATTTGTGCCGGAACAAGCTGGATCCGGCACCTCTGAAATCTGGTTCAGTACCTAATTTTACCGATCCCCTTCCTCACACATACACACACCCTCTACCCACTCTTAACTTTCTTCAGTGACACCTCACAAATTAAGCACTGGAGATTAGTGTAGATTTTCCAATACTTTGGGCTTAATAATACATAACTATTTAGCAAAAATGTGATTAGACATTTAAGATTGGGGGACACCAATCAGCCAATAAAACCCATACTAATGAACTATTTGTACTTTTTGCGATCACGTTCGTCCTAAACTCTATAGTGGTTATGTTTACTAACCATATTTAAACTAATTCCATTGACCTCTGCTGATTCTATCCCAAAACTACAAAAAAAAAAGGAGTTGAGGGTGCCTATTGTCTTAATACCAGTACAACTGTCAGTTTGATTAATATATTGATAATATCTGCCCTCTTCTGATAAAAGGGGGATCCAGGTGGCTATAGAAATCAATAGTGATGGAAAATGCAGAGGGGCAGGGTGGGTTTTGTTTTCTTGGGTGAGAGCAGGAAATTGCATTCTCCCTGTGTGTGCTGAGGTGGCATTTGGTTTCGCAGGACCTCCCCCCCAAGAAGTTGTACCATCTCTGTGGACAAGCCATCTGTTTGCTTAAACCATAATGTGTCACTCTTACGCAAGGGAGGGCGGATCGAGAACAAGGGGGATGGGCCACACCTATACACGTACAAGCTGCATGCCACCTAGAGCACAAGTTAAAAAAAAAACAGTCAGCTCTGTAACCCTCCACCTCCCAAACAAACACACACCTATTCACATAGACAAATGCCGAATATCCTTTTGTGTCCCAAGAGCGTAACCTGTTGCATCTGTTGTTAGAAACCACAATTTGAACCACATTACTGGCTGTGTACCAAATATTGCTTTATGCATATAACATTACAATATTTCTACTTAACATTGTTTGTATGCTATCTTTTGCATCTCATGTTTTGTTGCCTTGACTGTTCTGCAGCCAACTGTTTCTCTGCTTTTCTTTCTTTCTTCAAGATCTCTTCCTTTTCCATTGTGTCTGTGTTTTACCTCTTGAACTTGCATGCCTGAGGAGTACCTCTATACAGACTTGTGATCCGAAGTACACAAGTGTTGATTTGCATGTGTGTGTGTGTCTTCTTACAGGAGGAAATGCAAGAGGAAGACAATAGTCCAAATAACAATGCAGGTATGCGTGGCGTCTGTGATGCCGATGGCCCGCCACATGACTGCCTGTTATTTTTCACATTCATAAGCTGATATCCTGGCGTTAGTTCTCACCTCTCTCTCCCTCCCTCCCTCTCAGAGCTGGAGCGCATCCAGGTTCCTGTAGAGGAAGATCAGATGGTGGAGGAGAAGCATGGAGTGTGTGTGGCGGAGGTGCAGGGCGGAGGGCCGGGCTGGCGGCAGGAGCTCGCCTGCTCTCTGTGTAAGCAACTGTTTAGCAGCCTGCTTCAACTGAGACAGCACGAATACAGCCACACGCTTTCACTTATGGCTCTCTCACTGGACTGCCTCGACCACCATCGCCCACTAGTGGCCTCCGCGTCTCCGCTCAACCCTCAGCCGGCACGCTACCACTGCTCGCAGTGTCCGGCCAGCTTCACTCTCAAGTCCAACGCAGACCGCCACGAGAAGACCATCCACCTCAAACGGAAGCTGATGCAATGTGTGTACTGCCTCAAGCACTTTCGTGACCGCACGGACCTGAACCGCCACCTGTCGTCCGTGCATTCCAGCGAGCGAGTGTACACGTGTCCCGCCTGCTCCCGAACCTTCAGCACACAGAAAAACCTGGCCACCCACGGCAAGGTCTGCTGTCAATCGGGAATCTCGCCCACTGAGCAGTTATGGAACTTGCATGGTTTAAAGGAAGACCATCACGGCCATATCCATGTAGACGATTGATTCACCAAACCAGCAACACTTTTTATTGGATTGATAAGGGAATGTGTAACACACCAAGTCGTCCCAATCAAGGTCTTTTGGCCACAGCACTGTTGACATTTCTACCTTCATTTTTACTGTATGTCAGATTTGTTTATTCTGGAAATAAAATCCAAATCGTCTTTCGTTTTTGCTTTAAATGACTACCGAATATGGCTGCCGATTTCTATGCAAAATTTCTATGCAAAATTAGGCATTATTTCTCTTTACGCATAAAGAGCTGTCTGATCTTTGCACCACCCAGGATTATCCAAGATCTAACGTAAGACTGGAGAACACAGTGATCTCAGTGCATTTTATGCCAATGCTTTTTCCTTTTTGGGTGGCTTTGCACCCCTCTTTTTTTTACTACTGAACTAGTCATGTGCTTATTCTGCAATATTGGTTTAAGCACGGGGGTATCTGTAACTGGTCGAAGTGTTAAGTAGTGAATTCAGCTGTTAAATCTGAGCACAATGCTGCCCTCTGCAGGAAAATCTATCTCTTGTGTCCTGTGCTCAACTAGAAGGAGATGATGAGGGATGAGGATAGATTAGGGAATGTCCTAAATCTTTCATCCTGCTACATCTTCTTGTGTGTGTGTGTGTGTGTGTGTGCGTGTGTGCTGTATACGAGTGAGTATGTGAGTGCGGGAATTATGTCAGTAATTAGCTCTTCTCTGCTCTCACCCGTGCTGACCCTAAATTATACAGATAAATGAGATGTGAAAGGAAAAGACATAAGCCCTTTAAAGTTGTGATCAGTCCTTGTGTGTTCTCACACTATCCTACAAGCAACATAGCCAGTGGAAAAGAAAAAGGGGTGTTTTCTGGACCCTTTCCAACACAGACAAAATCAATTGTGTGTGTTTTCATATGTTTTCTAATAAATATTTTAGAAACCTGTTTTTGACGGGTTACTGTCCTGCAGTGTTTAGCTCTAACAAGAATTAAGCACATCTGAATTTATCAAAGCTCAGTTTCAAATAGAAAACTATATGGCTGTTAACACCTGGTCAGCTTTGTGTGTGTGTTTTTTTTTTTCTGATCAGATCTGAAATGGAGTTGAATATATCTGATCACTCAAAACACTTATTGAAGGGGGCCTGAGACACATTCCAGATGAAACTAGAAAGGTCTAAATGCAGCACAAAAATTTGACCAGTTCCAAAATGTAAAATTAAAAAACGTGAGATAGAGCTGGCCAATTAATCGAAAGTAGTCAAAATCGACATTTAGAACCTATAATTAATCACAATTTTCCAGGACAATTTTTTTGTAATTACTTTTCCTACGTGTTGCGTGACCCCACTTCATTACTTCTGTGGCCACTTTGCAGCCCCATCTGATCTGTGGTGAAATAGGATGATGGACATATTCTTGAGCCTTACTTTGCTCTACATTCACGATGATTGGAAGCTATGCCAGAGATGCCTTTATCAGTATATAATAACTTGTTAGTGAACTATAATGGGCAAAAAGATTGAATAAATAAATAAAATAATCATTCATTAATAATAATCAGGTTAAAATGTTCAATTAATCGAGATTTAGATTTTAGGCCAAATCGCCCAGCCCCAATGTGAGAGCATGTACTTAAATGTAAAACACAATGCCACAGATGACAGTTTGGGATGTTTGCTTTATTTTATTAAAAATGTTTCATTCTATTTTTGACTAGTCGTTAAACGTTAAATGAGCAAAGAATGTTATTTTTTATAATTCATTTTCTTTTTGGCTTAGTCCCTTTAATAATCTGGGGTTGCCACAGCGCAATGAACCGGCAACTTATCCAGCATATGTTTTATGCAGCAGATGCTCTTCCAGCTGCAACCCATCACTGGAAAACACATACACACTCATTCACAAACACATACACTACGGACAATTTAGCCTACCCAATTCACCTGTACCGCATGTCTTTGGACTGTGGGGGAAACCGGAGCACATGGAGGAAACCTATGCGAACACAGGGAGAACATGCAAACTCCACACAGAAACGGCAACTGACCCAGGCAAGGCTCGAACCAGCATGTCAGGAAGGCTGAGCGGTCTAAGGCGATGCAATCAGGTCGCAGTCTCCCCTGGAGGCGTGGGTTCAAATCCCACTTCTGACAAACCCTTTGGCTGTGTGCTCAGGTTCAAGTCTTTAACTCTCTGGCGCCAAGTACGAGTGATAAAGTAACACTGACAAATCGCCGCATCAATCTCTTTGTGTCACAGTTCACGCTAGAATGTTATATTAATATAAAATAACAGCATTAACAACAGAAACATATCACACACTAGTGTGTATTTCTATGAATGGGAATGAAAACTAACAGAATGATATGGCATTTCATCCCTTTCAAAAGGCACAGTGTTTAGATTTTGAAGAGGTTAAACACAAATCAATGTAAACCCAAACTATTCAAAAATAGATGGTTCAATTAGCCTATAATGAACACAAATGAAGTACAAAGCCTGAATCCAAGATTAAAACATAATTTAAATGCCAAATATGATGTATAGCTTACATTTCTGTAAAAATAACGTTTAAACAAGTTTCAGATACACCGCATTTTAAGTTGACATGATGTAGTTAAATTTGGTAATAGTGGGATTTGATTTATCACCGCGGACCGGTCAATACTTGTCACACCTCTATTGGAAATATGAATTTCTCTAGAAACTCTAGAAAAGATACGTATGCAAATGGCCCCTAAAAGGCCGCCAATCTTTACGATCTCCAGCAGTTGATCTTTCACATGTTGGATTCACCTGACTTGTTGACAAATGGGTTGTGCATCTTCCCCTTAGCAAAGAAACTTTCCAGAGATGATTATTTCTTACTCATTTTGCTGCTTGTGGGTTATTCTTTGGTGTTCAAGTGACCAAGATGTAAACGAGAGAAATTTTTTTTTTTAAATATAAGATAGTTCAGACTCAGATAATAAGTAAAACAGAAATAATTATTGATTTCTTGTGCAGCCCGGTAGTAATTGATCCATGGACTGGTACCGGTCTGCGGCCCAGTGGTTGAGGACCACTGCATTAAGCCCAAGAGATAGTAGGTTCTCCCATTCATGATTTAACTTTCTGTAGTGTGTCTCTCATTGCAGGTGCTATACGCTTTCAATGCACACCTCTATCAAGACCACACTGCTGGTCCAAACAGATTTCCTCCCAACAGTTAAAATGGCATTACATCATGACAGTATGGACTCAACCACAGGGGTTTCACAGACATCCCAGGGTGAGAATAGGCATTGCCGGGGGAACTTCCAGGCGACTTTGGTTGTCTGGTTTTAAGTGTTATTAGAAATTTAAACCTGACTAGAAACTTCCAAACAGAGCTAAACTGAGTTTGAGCTTAACTCTGCAGGACACTTGCCTTTCAGGAGCAGGATTAGACTCTCTTTTATGTAAAATCTGAAAGAGTTTAGCCATTTTTGAATGATTTTTTAAAAAACGGAAGCATCTAAAAGCAAACTTGTTCCTGTAGCCCAACTGTAAAGGCTGATTAATACTTCTGCTTCAAGCGCATACATATGCTCTAGCGTAGCCTTCGCGGCGTCACAAAGCCCTCTCTATGACTGTCACGGACACTGACATGCACTTCTCAAAGTAAATGTAACTGCACATTGCAATGACATGTAGCGCAAGCTCTGTGATTGGTTGGCTAAGTAGCTGTGATCAGTGTGGTCGGGACCAAGAGCCATGCGAACCCATTGGAGCGAGTGTTTACAAGTTCCGTGAAGTAGCTCTAGATGGAAACTGTTGTTTTGTGTTGATCTTATGATAAAAGTTGTTGCATGTTTCTGCCTCTGAATGAGCGAGTTTTAGCTGCTTGTACATTAAGGTAGCATTCAGAAAAAACAAAACACCCATGAAGAAATTCGACACAGAGGAACATAAAAACCTCACTGTCAGCTAACGTTTCGAAAAGTGTTATCGCAGATAAACACAAACAGCACGCAAAAGTATAAACGCATGACTTTGGTGATCATTCATCGCAAAAGTATAAGTAAGCCTTTAAGTGTTTAGCTGAGACCTTCTCAGTGTTCGGTGGATGCTGAGAGCTAAGAGAGTAGCCCACCAGGAGCAGGATTTGGGCAGGTCTTTTCTAAAGTGAATTTTAATTCCTCTGTAAGGTTAGTCGTGTGAGTGGTCTGACCACAGTTGTACTGCATCTAATTAAGAGTTCAGGGAAATCTCCAAAGCAGTCAACACTCGTAGTAATTCCTGGAGGCACTGTTTTTATGTTAATTGTAACTTTCACACCACAACAGTTATGACAAGTTCATTAGTGTATCAGTGGGTGCTTACACACTAGAGGAAGCTCTGATGAAGGAAAATGTATGTTAGATCCACTCTGAGGGTTTGGATGGGTTTAGAAATTCAGCCAATATAAAATGCGATTGGTCAAAAAGACTGTCAGTGCGCATTGCAGCAAAGGTTAACATTTTCACAACTTTTTTTTTTTTCGTTTTGTCTTTGTGATGGACTGTCCTTATTAAAATCAATGAACTTGCAGTGTTTTCAGATGCAGGGTAAACCCTTGGGTGTATGTGCTCTTATGCAGTAAATCAAATGTGGCAATGTGTCAACATCGCTCTTACTGACACAGCAGTGAAGAAGAAAAGTGGATTGTCACACTAAGACCACCTAAATTACCCATATGTCTTATACCCAAGACACCCACTGGCCTCTTCATTTTATGGTTTTCTTTAGGAAGATATGGAGATTTTTGTCAGGCATGTGAAGGTCTGTTTCCGTCTACATTTTGCATAGACTATTCAATCTGTGTGTTGTATGAGAAGTTTTATTCTATTTCTTTGTCAGTCAAAACGTCTGCTCGGAATGCAGTCTGAAAATGAAAATGTGGTATAATAGTAATCTTTCAAACAGTGTTGTGGTGTGTTGAATGTGGAGTGATTTGTGAAAGGAACCACTGTTTAGCACCTATGCAAAGAGAGAGAGATTTGCACTGAAGTTTTCAAGGTCTTGGCACTTTCTCCTCAGGAAACAAAAAGACTGATGCTCTCTGACTGAAATGTGGATGTAAAAAATGCATCAGAAATTTCAGGCACAGATGTTTTGAATTGCACTATTTTTATTACTCTACATAAAAAAGACTGCTAGAATGAAGACAGATTCTTGTAGATCATGTATTTTGGAAAAATATTGTTGTGTAAATGGTTGTTTGTAAGTTTGTAGACAATAAATTTTAATGTAAATCATTCTGAAAACTTGTTTTTATTTGTTCTAAGAAGACATTATATGCTACCAATTAAATATGAAATACTATTATCCAGTTAGCAAAATTATTGGAGGTTTAATACATATTTACAACTTAATGTACTTACAAACTAAGATCCTTCCTTTTTGAAATGGTTCATGTACAAGAGGACAGTTGGATTTTGTCTGATTGTATATAGATTTGTACAACACACAGTATAGACATGGGCCGGTATAAGATTCTGACGGTGTGATAACCATGAATATAAAAAAATAACCATTTCACGGTTTTGCTTTATAGTGACTACTCCTCTAAGATATACTCTTTTTAAATGTCTGGGTAAAAAACAAGAACCTTTTTCTCCTTTGAACACAACATTTTTTATTTTGAGAAACGTTTAAAATATTTTGGAGCAGTAAACATGTCAGGCTAGATAACCCAAATGATATTCGACTTCCGCTGTTGTCATCAGTTAATAAAACACAGATTTCTTTACAATTTAAAACGGCATCTTTGGAGATATTTTCTGCTGGAAAAAAGTAAATAAAAAAGTAAATAAAAAATGGTACACATACCCTAGGAATAGTAGCACAAAATTTTGACTGTTTTAAAACCTTGACTTTTCCAAACAGTGGTATACTTTAAAAACAATTATCGTCCCATGCCTAGTACAGTACATTGTATCTGGTACTTTTTTATTACCAAGTCAGTTGAGATTCCAAGTGAGGCTTACCAATAATAAAATGTGAACTAGGCATGAGATGATAACTGTTTTCAAGATATACCGCGGTTTGGAAATGTCAAGTTTTTTTTTTTTTTTTTAATTGTTTGTTAAAATAAAAACAAAGTGCTAAATTTCGCTGCAAAAAATCTCTAATCGCTAATAATAACTCCTGTATAGCAGTAACATTCTGTCACTCGATGACACTGGAATACCCAGTAAGAAAAGTCTAGTGGCTGAGAATGATCTTTTTACAGTGTCTGGCATAATGTTAATGTTGTTGTCTTGTATTTACATGGACTGTGTAATAATAATAATAATAACACCGGTGTAGTGCTGTCCCAATTCTTAAGGGAAAATCTTGAAGCCCTTTCCCTTCAAACTCTGTTTCAAGGGCCAAAGGGAAGGGGAAAGGTAGGGGTACAAAAATAGAATTGGATTGGGCCTAAGAGGCACACAGTCCAAGAGCATCTGATGTTGTCAGAACAACCCCAGTTCCAAACAAACCCACTAAAATAACTTAAAATGCTGAATAATGCACACCAGGTCAATAATTTCCAATGTTAGTTTTCAAGTACTCACTCGTGCATAGACTGGACAAGTAATATCCATGATGTCAACACTTGCACAAAATCAAGTTTTGCATAGAGACAATAATAATATGGTTTTCGAAAATTTGCACTTCAGGCTTCTGAAACATCTTTCTGTTAAATTTTTTTTGTGGTAGTGTACCATATTTTCTACTTCGAATTCTGGCCTCTTTCATAGTTCAGAACTGACCCTTCAGCTGTTTGAGAAGTATAGATTTTCAGATTCTGTAAATATGTTGGTGTTGCTCCACAAGTTTATCGGGTCTTTTATGCCTGTATTATAAAAGTAAACCTGAGCTTTAGGTATGTTCCTACCTAAATGTTGCTCATCCGCTTATTAGCTGAGCCAGTCTAGACCACTGTCTAATGAGATTACAGTCATCGCAATATGAATAGCACAAAGCACATGCACTGTGGTTGCTTCTGTCTGAATCAGGGGATAGAAAAATTCCAAGAACAAGACGGGGTTGAATTGATGTTTGGTTTTGTGAGTTTGGGTTGATAATTTGTGCAGCAATTGTTCAGTAAACAATAGGAAGCTATGTTATGCTATGCTGCGTTGTGGGTTTTTCATCTTTCTTTGTTGAATTTGAGCAGTAAAATCTGTTTCGGTGCTGTGGTTGCTAAGGAAACTGTCTTTTGGGGCTGCTTTTGGTAGCTAAGGGCAGGTGAGTTGGGGAGAGTATCCCTCTTGCAGTTTGTCAGTGCTTGAAGAGCATTGGCTAGCTTCAGTGTCTGCATCTAGATGACACAATGAAACGACAGAAGGGATTGAAAAAGGATTGCACAGTATGTAGATGTGAAAGTGGCAGAAACAATACTATGATGAACACTGACTCTCGCTAAAATCATATCGCATGTTCATATCACTGTTTATCCCAAAAATTCTAATAAAAGAAATGACTCCCTTTCACACGGTTTACACTTAGCAGGTTTGGTTAGATCAGTCAAACTCTGGTGCTAATGCTTTGTTGATGCAGTTCATTTTATACTGCAAACCAAATGTCTGTCCACACCAAATAAGTAGACCAAGAATGCTCTTTCTGTCTTGGATCTCTTTCGAACAAATTCTGGCGCAGTTTGACTGTAATATGAATGCAAAACAAACTAAAAACAGACCATTATTTTTTCCTCAGAAGCGATAAAAAAGGAAATTGTTCTATGATTAGTCTAAGAACACCTTTACATTTTGTTATTTTTCTTTGCATTTTGAAAATAAATTCTAGTCCTCCCAAAACACTATACTAATATACTATCCACACATTTGGCATTATAATTTTCACAATCTTTTGTTGTCGTGTCTTTCGGGTGCAAAAATGTCCTCTTTGTATCCTATTTTCAAATGTATTCATTTTCATTCCCAAACATGCTACTTTTTACTCCTACATTAAGTAGTATTTATAACAGATACTTTTACTCTACTTGCACTAAATTTTTATGCAAGTAATGGTACTTTTACTTGAATATGATTTTTTTAGTAATTTTTCCACCACTTAAAACATGTAAAGTACAGGGTGGGCCATTTAAATGAATGCACCTTAAAAACTTATTGGTAATTACACAAGAAAAATTGTCTTTTTTTTTTTTTTTTTTTTTTTAAATAAAGATCATGGTTTTCTCACGATTCTGTAGATATAAAATTAAAGTTAATTTGAGTGGGCTATTATTATTGTTATTTCTCAAACATTCTGTAAAAAACTCTAATAATATTATGTATACATCTACTGTTGGTTACAATGCTAAATTTTGTATAGACTTGGAATGGTGGACTTGAACAGACAATAAATTGGTACTGGTCATTAATAAACAGTAAAGTGATGACATCAGAATACGACTTTTCATAATTATAATTATTTATTCAACTATTATGTTTGAGACATATGCTTGCAATCTGTCATTGACAACATTATTAGATTTATTTATTTTTCTACTGGTAAAATCAGAAGTCAGAAGTCATGGTCAGCTCACGTCACGTGTGATTTTGCGGCCACGAATACATCATTATATGAAGACAGAAATTACATTTTTGGCTGAATTATACCTAATAAATACAGTATGTGACCATGTTGTAAAACAATGTTTGCATGGCTTCTCTCCTAAACTTGAATGTATGATTGGCAGAATGGTAGAAATGCCGGATTAAGATCTAATGACTATGACTAAGCTCTGCTAGCTAGACAGAAATTTGGTCATCTGACATTCCAACCTAAATCTAACCTAATATTAACGTCATCTGATGTTGTGGGCCTGCTGAGCAGTAACTAAAATGCACTACATAATGTTACGTTTACACACATCCACAAATTTTTACAACATACACTTCTACTCTTTTGCACTACATTTTTTGGCAAGTAGAGATACTTTTACTTAAGTGTGATTTTTAATTGCTTGATTGCTTGATTGCTTGATTGCTTGATTGATTGATTGATTGATTGATTGATTGATTGATTGATTGATTGATTGATTGATGACCTGGACATTGGTTAATTCTGAGGTCAAGTCATGCTTTAAGGTTTAACAAAATTCTCCTAAAATAATAATAGCCCCAACTCCACCCATTAAAACAATTATGGTTAACATGAATCAGCTCATTATGCTAATGCCACAGAGGCAGCTGTTAATTAAAGTCACAGAGAGATAGAGAAACAGAGAGATTAACCCAGTGCTTTGGTAAGTAGGTTTGGCCATGTGAAGGACTTTTAACACCTCTCACATAGTAACTTTCATACTTGCAGTGGCTTAACCTGCATGTGTTTAGACTGTGATCAACTCTCCTCACATCTTTTCATCTCTATCCACAGTTAACGACTTCACAGTGATCAGGAAGAAGTTTAAGTGCCCATACTGCAGTTTTTCCGCCATGCACCAGTGCATCCTGAAGAGGCACATGCGCTCACATACAGGCGAGAGGCCTTATCCCTGTGAGATCTGTGGGAAGAAGTTTACCAGACGGGAGCACATGAAACGCCACACGCTGGTGAGTGCAATAGATTGTTTTATTACGAAACAGGGATTAAAATTGCTACAATGTTACTTTTTGTTCCTGGTGCGGTTGGCTTTTACGCAGCAAAACTTCTAAATGGATCAAAATAGTTAAAACAAGTCACGTGCGAGAAAACTCTCCCCACTTTTGTCAGAGTTTGGTCTATTTTTCAGGATTCAGCTCAGCTGTCATACGTTGTTATTTTTATTTATGACAATGAGAAGTATAAGGTGAAATGTTCCTCTATATAAATACAGTTTTCCGTATTTTCCAAGATCAATAGGGTAACTCCTGCAATTTGCTTCATTGTGGAGTTCATCGTCATTAAAGCAGACGACCTGATGGTTTGCCCCTTCTGTGTTTATCATTGTGCACAAGAAGGAGCAGTAACTGCCCCATTTTGGACGTCATTTAGGGATGTAATTTTAGACCTAAATATTGTGTATATAATAAATATTGATATTGTGTAGTCCTATAACAGGGATATTCAACTGGCGGCCCGTGGGCCGAACCCGGCCCCCCGAGGCAATATGTTTAGGCCCTCCAAATAGTGTGACTAAGACATCAGAAATATAGTTATAGTTATGAAGTGACGTCTGTTCAATACACCATGTGCTGCACTCCGTGAGACACCATGAGCGAGTAGCGCGGGCAGCCAAAAATATTTGGATATGTTTGTAGAAAAGGTCTTTTGTACTGTGCATTGATATCAACAATAGGGATGCAACGATTAGCCGATTTCACTATCAACTGCGCTTTAATCCGTCACAGTTAATTAATCATAAAGGCTTCTAAGCAGCATATCTGTTGCACAGAACAAACGAAACTGCTGCAATTAAACAAAGTTATGCCAAGTTACCAACTGTGGGGTAGTTTAAATTTCCAAGTATGCACACCAACGCTAATATGCACACACACCGGATTAACTAATAACCGTAAAAAGATGATAACCCTAAAACCATGATTATTCTTTAGACTATATAATCGTACAACCAAAATCTATATTTGTTGCATCTCTAATTGTTATGCAGTTCAAAAAATAACATATGAATGTGTCTGAAAGTAAGAAAGCCTGCTAAAGCAATGCACTGCTTTTGTTATGCTCTGAAATATAACATTTGAATGTTTGTTAAAAAAAATGGTCTATTGTACAATGCACTGATATTATGTAGTTTCAAAATACAATATAGTAACGTGGGTGTCTTAAAGAAAAATACAGCATATGGGCTCTTATATGCAGTTGTGTTATCACTATTATAGCAAGTCATATCTCTCCGGCTCTTTGTTTGGGATGCTTTTCATGAACTGGCCCTCAAGACAAAACTAATTGAATAGCCCTGTCCTATAATGTGCACGTATGAGGATGCCGCTGACAATATGCAAGCTCATGAAATCTTTTTAAATGCGTGCGGCTATGCACACTTTTTCCTCTCACAATTGCATGTCATGACCACGTCCACTCTATGTACATTATAAATAAACACATCAAATTTAATACCTGAAAGTTTTGTAAGTTTAGATGATATTACAAATGTATAAAAATATATTTTAGAAATAGTCAAACCTATTAAAAGGGAAAGTGAAAGTGATTATTTGCTATGTATTAGCTATGTATGATTTTTTTTCAGGGTGGAATGTTAGATTATATTAGGTTACACAATACAACTGGACTTAATATGTTAAGGCCTTTAAACGATTTAATGTCTTAAAACAGTTCTAATTGTTGACTGACTAATAGTTTATTCACACGTAGAATAAAGAGTCTACTAAATTACAGGAAAATTTATATTCTGTGGACACAAGAGCACTAAACCAAGTTAGTGGCGACATCTAGCGGCGGTGTGTGGATGTGTCAAGACACTAGCCGCATTTCCACTATCGGGCCAGTGCGAGCCAGGGCTTTTATCAGGCCAGGCCAGGCCAATCGCCCAGGAGGTTGAGCAGTGAGGCCGAAATCATGTCGCGTTTCCATTGTCGGGCTAGTAGCTCGCAGCGCGTCACGCAAACCCCGCCCCCAGAACATTCCCGAATCGAACGTCACTCAAACCGCCCACTTCAGCTGGAATCAGGCAGATAAAGCACACCACATCATCACGAAACTATTAAAATTAGGACAACCAAAACAAACAAATGACACGTTACTGTACAGCAGTACAATGTATGTGTATACGCACATACCTGTGTGTTCTCATTCATCATATTCATTTACCCGACTGTTGGCATCGAAATCCAGTGGTCTTGCCACTCACGGAGGGACCCAGCGCAGGGAGCGCACACATCCATAATATAACACCACATATATAAAATTCTCATCACCAAATATAAATCAGTGGTAAGAATTTGTTCATACATAGCCTCATTTTCATAGTCAAGGGTTGTAAAAGATATCAATATTAATTCTAGATCAGAAGTCGAGTTAACCAAAAAGTTAAAGATATTTTTTTAATAGTTTCATTTTTATTAGACAGCAATCTTTCACTTTTATTTTTGACTTAAAATGCACTTTTACCGGTAGTAATGATCTCTACTCAACATTTTCTCTTCTTATAGCCACATGCTTATTACATATCCATAATACACTGTGATATGGCCTAGTTTGTTAGTTCGTTGGATCATATTGCTTTTTCACTACAACTAAACTGTTCTGGAGTTCGTTTCAACCGAGCTGAGAACCGATTGTTTTGGCAATAATCATAGCACGATTGTGGAGTTCACATAAGTCCAAACAAACTGAGCCAAGGGGGCAAATGCACCAGATTCCGAAACAAACGTCTAGGTGTGATAACACCCTAAGACAACATTGTGAAACCAATAAGTACATTGTTGAAACTACATGTGAAGTCCAATAAGTACATCTGGGCGTTTACGATTAGCAAAAACACAATCAAAAATAACCCACAAAATGTAATGATTATTGGAATTTGACAAATTTCTAAGCGCATGCTTTAACATTTCTTCTTTTTTAATGAAAGACTCAACAGCATATGTGCTTTTCGTAAAGATGCTTGTGTGGGAGACATTGGAGTCTCTAGTGGGCCTCTATTAAATACAGGATTCCGCCGTATCCCATAAACCCCTCTTATCTCAGTTTTTCTCTGCCCTTATTGCCAGCAGTCCTTTTAACACCTCCTCTCCTTTTCTCTTTCTTAAAGCCTGTATTTACTGTATCTTCTCATGGGAGGCACTCATAAACATGCTTTGGCACATGTTCTGGGTCTCTGTGTGGCTAAGAGACGTGCCACAGAAATTAGCTCTGGTTTTAAGCATATCAAAGGGCCTGTAATAGTGTGACATGATAACAGACAGCGCTGCTTCTGCTTAGCGCTGAAACGTTTAACACCTAAACATTGCTTAATTCATGATCCGCACCATGATGGATCGCACCCGATATGCTACACCGCCGCATGTTGTCACCGCTTCGTTATAATGTGGTGAAAAAATTCAAAGGTCTGCACAAGAGACTGTACTTGGCTGAAATTCTTTTCTTCGCTGTGAATGCAGCATTGGTTTGCTATGATTTTGGAGACATTTATGCACAGTATATGAACAGTACACATGAATGCGAATCATAAGTGAAAGTAGAACATGGGATAAGCAATGTCAAGGTCTTAGGTTTGATTCCCAAAGAGTTTTTCATAATGATAAAATGCATGCTTTGAATAAAACTGAAACCCCTTTGAGTAAAAGCCAAAACCTAAATAAAGTCCAGATAAATTGTGGCTAATTTTCTACATAATGCAGAAAGTTGCTAGGAAACTAATCTAGGGATCAAAGATAGCCAGTCTTTTCAGATTTAAGTAAGATCGATTTACATTTTTATGTAACTGACTGTTATTCATTTATTCATTTTTCTTCAGCTTAGTCTTTATTTCAGAGATTGCCATAGCGGAATAAACCGACAACTATTCCAGCAGATTTTTACGCAGTGTATGCCCTTCCAGCCACAACCCAGTAGTGTGAAACATCCAAACACACTCAGTAACACACACTTAGACACTATGGCCAATTTAGTTCATCCAATCACCTATAGTGCATACACTTAAGTTAATTATGATTACTTATAAAGGACTTATAAATGACATGTACTGTATACACTCATTGGCCACTTTATCAGGCACGCCTTACTAGTACCGGGTTGGACCCTCTTTTGCCTTCAAAACTGCCTTAATCCTTTGTGGCATAGATTCAACAAGGTACTGGAAATATTCCTCAAAGATTGTGCTTCAATTTGACATGATAGCATCACATAGTTGCTGCAGATTTGTTGGCTGCACATCCATGATGTGAATCTTCCATTCGACCACATCATATAGGTGCTCTATTGGATTGATATCTGGTGACTGTGGAGGCCATTTGAGTACAGTGAACTCGTTGTCATGTTCAAGAAACCAGTTTGCGCTTTATGAAAAGGTGTGTCATCATAAGATGGGTACAGTTTGGTCATAAAGGGATGGACATGGTCACAACAATACTCAGGTAGGCTGTAACACCATGCTCAACTGGTACTAATGGGCCCAAAGTTTGCCAAGAAAATACCACCCACACCATTACACCACCATTAGCAGCCTGAACCGTTGATACAAGGCATAATGGATCCATGCTTTCATGTTGATGTCAAATTCTGACCCTACCAGCAGAAATCGAGACTCATCTGACCAAGCAATTTTTTTACAATCTTGTATTGTTCAATTTTGTTGAGCCTAAGTGAATTGTAGCCTCAGTTTTCTGTTCTTAGCTGATAAGAGTGGTACCCGGTGTGGTCTTCTGCTTCTGTAGCCGATCCACTTCCAATGTTGTGTGTTCAGAGATGCTCTTTTGCATGCCTCGGTTGTGCAACAAGGCATTTGCACCCACAAAACTGCCGCTGGTTGTGCATGAAAATCCCAGTAGATCAGCAGTTTCTGAAATACTCAGACCAGCCCGTCTGGCATCAACAAACATGCCACTTTTAAAGTCCCTTAAATCACCTTTCTTCCCCATTTTGATGCTCGGTTTGAACTGGCGCAGATTGACTTGACCATGTCTACATACCGAGTTGCTGCCATGTCATTTGCTGATTTGGAATTTGCATTAGACAGGTGTACCTAATAAAGTGGCCAGTAAGTATTATTCAAAACTATAAAAAAAAGCCCTTTTATTCTTTTTAAACAAAATTATTTAGTGGCCTGAATACAAACTATTGAAATCAGGCCTTAAATCTATGTGTGAACACTTTGTAACTTAAACAACATTGGCCAGCTTCAGAATCATACATGCAAAGGTGCAAAGTGTTCTTGTACAAAGTAACATCTCCACCTTCTGGCTTGAGATGCATTATACATAAGGCTGGACGATATGGAAAAAAATTATATCACAATATATTACTTAATTTCGGTCGATACTTTATAATTCTAATATTGATATGGACAATATTAAAAAGACTGCCAAGACTATTGAAAAAACTGCCAAGAATGCACACAATAGATGTCTGTACCTACCAATGTCTGCAAACTGAATTTGCAAAGTCTATAATACCTCCAGGCTCTTATAGCTTTTCTTTAAATAAAAAAACAAAACAAAAAAAACATATGTTCTCTTTTTATTTGTATTTAGCCTTTACAAACACGGATGAATGGATGGATGGATGGATGGATGGATGGATGGATGGATGGATGGATGGATGGATGGATGGATGGACAGACGGATGGATGGATGGATGGATGGATGGATGGATGGATGGATGGATGATATAGTTCATGGGGGTTAGCTTGACCAACATGATGCACAGAAACTTTTATCAGTTTTTTTTATTTATTTTTTTTATGCTGAATATTTAACAATCAAAATAATACCAAAATCCACATCGAAAAAAAAAAACTGAAAAATAAAAATAATTATAATAATAAAAAAATCAAAAAGTGTAGCCTACACTAATTTTTGCAATAGAAAAGAGTTGTATGAGTTGATTCATGGTTCTGGTTGCTTTTCATCTTGAATGTCCTTTAAGGGTTTTATCTGTCTATTTATATTTGTGTATACATACCTAATTAAATTTAAAGTTTTAACATAAAATAGTTCTTATATATTTTATGTAGTCTATATAGACTAATATTTTATATAAAACATTTTCATTATTTAACAGAAGCTTTAATTTTACAAGCTCAAAGAAGCACACACTCCTTTAATGTTTCAAACATTAAATAAGCGTCATTTTCACATTTGTGTTCAGCTGCTCAGCAGGCGTTTTACAGTGTGCAGGGCAGATCCTGAGTTCTACTGTAACCTCTGTGTCTGAGTCTGTCTCATCAAACTCGAGAAAGGTTTTTTAAAAGAGAGAAAGAGTGTTTCTACGAGTGGTTTATCAAGCCCACTCACCTTCCTGCATGAGGCACACTTAGAATTATTAATGTTTTTGGGGTGACGTGGGATGAAACTAAGTACTTAAAGAAAGTCTTTTTTTTGTCATTGTCTTCCCACAGGTACACAGTAAGGACAAGAAGTACGTGTGTAAAGTTTGCAGCCGCGTCTTCATGTCAGCCGCCAGCGTGGGCATCAAACATGGCTCTCGTCGGCACGGTGTGTGCGCAGACTGCTCAGGTCGAGGCATGGCTGCTCTGCTGGACCAAAACGGCGAAGACGGCTCGCCAGAAGAAGAACTCTTATATCCCGGGGACCACCGTTTCCCTGATGACACAGCAGACGGAGACGGCGAAGAAGAGATGATGGTGGAAGCAGAGATTATGGGAGAAGGGGAGGAGGAAAACGGGAAATGGCGGGCAGGCTCAGGGATGTCGCAGCGAGACGACAGAGCAATAGACGATGGCAAAGAGGAAAGCGACTCAGCCCTGGAAGGAGACACCAGGGCGGGAAGCGAGAAAGACTTCAGTTGGATCTCCTAGTCCAATGCGTGGATCCACGGTCGACCACCTGTTCCTTTAAGGAGATACGCTTAAGGCGGGGCAATCGGATCTCAGTGTGTTGGAGGAGCCGGATACAAAGAGATCCTTAAGGTGCCTACAGGGCTGCCAAAAGGAGAGACAGTGGAGCGTCTCCTCGCCCCGACTCCATGTGCTTCTGACCCAGGCTTCAGTTTGTCTCCTTTCTTCCTTGAGGACCAAACGGGTTTCTATGTATGTGTTTGCTATTTCTTCAGACAAAAGAGATTGTGTCGTTTCGGGAGATTGTCCAAAAATCAGCGCCATGCTTTTTTAATGGGTCAGACAGAAAAGTGTACGAAAGATGTGCTCTTGCCATACGGCCAGCCGCCACCAGGGGGGCGCTAGCCAATCTTTTGCGCAGCAGTTCACGTCAGAAGACTTGCACCAGTTTGTTTTTGGCACATTGTTGAGAAACTGCAACAGACTTGCACTTTAAACGTTGACTAGATTCCTATCGATTCCCTGTTTCTGTGGTTTACATTTTTATTCCAATTTACATAGATTATGAATATGGTGACCGCACCTACCTTTAAGGATACACAGTATGTCCTTATGACTGTTATATACTGTATGAACATTCGTGCTAGGTTTGCTAATTATAATGTATGCCTTGTAATGTTTTAATGGGTTGCAATTTTCATTCCTGAACATTTATATCAAGGGGAAAAATCATGTAAATAGATACATATATGAGTGAGATTAGTTGATTTAGTGTTTTCGACATAAACGAGGCGGTTTAGGGGGAAGGTGGGTGAACACTATGCAGAAACGAATCTTTCTAGTTCTCAACAATCTTTATTCTCTCTATTATGCGAGAGAAAACTAGTCTTCAGCAATGGCAAAGAAGAGAGACCGGAGGAGAGGAGTAGATTTATGGAAATATTACCCGTGTCCCGCTGTAATATTTCCTCATTATTCGCATTCCATAGTGGACACAGTCAGGGATGGGTTTTATACAGAGGGTTCGCAGCGTGGCTTTGTTTCTTTGAAAATAAAACAAAACAACTGTATGCAAACGTGTGTGTTTTGTAGGTGTGGTGCGTGAGGGGCGGTTTAACATACTCAACGATTTCAGACTCTCTCCTCTCGTCCCTCTTTTTACGTGTTTCCTCGCAGCCTTGCCATTGTACTGTACTGAGTCTGCCTCTGAAATCTTAAAGCCGTGTGATGTGACAGGGAGATATCATGCCTTCCCGCTAAATATTTATTGCTCTAACTTCTGGAAGTTTCAGAAATATGCATCGATTTCTTAATCAACGAACCACAGCTTTCTTTTGTTGTCAGTCCATCATAGATGACGAAACACAAAGACGCTTTGTAACAAGACCAAGAGGACTGATGTGTGCTGTAAAGTGAAATAGCTGTTCATTTATTTGGTCTAAATGCTTATTTATTTGGTTTGTGAGTGCGTGAGTGAGTGTGAAAGATGAACTAGTCTTTTTACACATCATTCTGTTTGACTCTGTGTGTGCGCGTGTGTGTGAGAGAGAGAAGGACCGGGTCCATGAATGTCTTTTTACTCATTGTTTTAACAATCTGTGCCAGAATCTTTGACAATGGGAATAAACGCTTTATTATGCTTTACTTATTATGATTAACAAATTTTAATTATTATGGTTACTGTTGATATTGTTGTAATTCTTATTAATGTTATTATCATTATGATTATTGTTATTGTTATTATTATTATTAAGTGCTGGAGACTAAGCTTTATTATTTGTTTCATTTTGTATTTCCATTCTTGAAAAACAGTGTAAAACTTTCCAATCTTGCCTTTCTATGGACAGCAAGCCATGTGGCTTTCAGAAGTAATTATATTGTGCCAGTTCCATGCATTTCTGAGTGATTTTTTTTTTCTTTTCCCTTATTATTACTGTTTTATTTTGGAAGGATGAACCTTCTGAGAGCTTAACTTACTAAGTGTTGACAGACAGGTATATTCAGCACACGCTTCTATATTACTAACGTACACTAAGTAATGAATATTATACCAAAAAATAATAATCTGGTATACGTTGTATACTTTTTAGTGCTTTTGTTTTCCATTTGGTGTACAGGTGCAAAGCTTTGATCAATTGGTGATTTGCTTGGTTGATTTGAGTTTTCTTTCCCCACTACATTTGAGAAAGCACAGATTTATGGTGTTATGTTATAAAGGGCCACTTGAAAGCACATTGAGAATCGCAGCTTTAATTCTGTTGCCCTTGGAAACATACTCAATGGATGTGCTCTACTGTATGCCATCGTCCTGCATCTGAAGGCCAGCACATGGTCATGTGGAAGTGTGTGTGCTTGACAATGAGAGATTGTACAAGCTTTAGACCTCAAATGTAACTGGTCCGAGTGCCAGGCACTATTGCTATCCAAATTCCTTCAAACAATTGGACGTTTAGCCTTTTCTTCTTTGTTTAATTTATTGTGTTCTTCGCCTTTAATTGAAATAAAATCTGTTGGAATTTAAAAGGAAAGAGCATCACGTCGTTTGAATTCATCACCCGTTCTCATGCGAGTAAATGTGGGTTAAGAATAGGCTGTTATTGAATGCACTCAGACGTCCCAGTGATTCACAATCAGGCCACTTCTATGGGTTAATAAATACTACTGCAGAAATGTGCCACTAAACACTTGACCTAAAAGTATGCTCTATGTGGCCCAGTTTGTTGATTTTTTTTTCACCTTAAAACGCCTCAAATATACAGTTGAAGTCAGAATTATTAGCCCCCTCTAAATTATTAGCCCCTGTTTGTTTTTCCCCGATTTCTGTTTAACGGAGAGCAGATTTTTTTCAACATTTTATAATAGTTTTAACAACTCATTCCTAATAACTGATTTATTTTATCTTTGCCATAATGACAGTAAATAATATTTTACTAGATATTTTTCACTTAACTAGGTTAACTAGGCAGGTTAGGGTAATTAGACGTTATTGTATGATGATGGTTTGTTCTGTAGACAATTAATATATATATATATATATATATATATATATATATATAGCTTGAAGGGGCTAATAATTTTGACCTTAAAATGTTTTTTATAAAATTTAAAACAGCTTTTATTCTAGCCAAAATAAAATAAATAAGACTTTCACCAGAAGAAAAAATATTATCAGACATAATGTGAACATTTCCTTGCTCTGTTAAACATCATTTGGGAAATATTTAAAAAAAGAAAAAAAAATTAAAATGGGGCTAATAATTTTGACTTCGACTGTAAATTTGTGGATTTTTTTCTGGCTCTGTTTACTACTTTGAACAGTAGTCTTTATCTGCTAAACGGCTACAGGCTTATTTCAACAATGTAGATGTATTACAAATACAATAGTGTTCTGTAAATAGTGTTGTTGGGACGAAAAAGGAAATTATGACAATCCCCAATGCATTTAAATCATTACAAAATATTACATGACAGATATTTTTCCTGGGAATATCAATATTAATTTTCTGATTAATGTTTATTAAACTGAATATATCAGTTTAAGATATTCATGGACAGAATTAAACATTTTAAGCAGATTTGTTCCTTTTATTATTCATTCATTCATTCATTCATTTTATTTTCGGCTTAGTCCCTTTATTATTCCAGGGTCGCCACAGCAGAATGAACCACCAACTTATCCAGCATGGTTTTACCCAGCGCATGCCCTTCAAGCTACAACCCATCTCTGGGAAACATCCATATTTAGCCTACCCAATTCACATGTACAACATGTCTTTGGACTGTGGGGGAAACCTGAGCACCTGCAGGAAACCCACGCGAACATAGGGAGAACATGCAAACTCCACACAGAAACGCCAACTGACCCAGCCGAGGCTTAAACCAGCGACCTTCTTGCTGTGAGGCGACAGCACTACCTACTGCGCCACTGTGTCACCTCCGTTTATTATTATTATTATAGCTACCCTTCAGAACATTTAAAGTTTCTTGGTTAATCTAAAAATAATTTGTTTCTAGATTTAAGTCTACTTTAACAACATTGTAAACTTGTTATTATTAAGTACTGTTGTTAATTAGATACTGATTCTAAGTCAGTGGATATTTCATATAATTAAAATAAACTGTTTAAACCAAAGGACTAAGCAAAAAAGTAAATTAATGAATGAATGTATGTTTAAACCATAGGTCTCAAACTCGATTCCTAGACAGCCACAGCTTTGTACAGTTTTGCTCCAATCCTAATCAAACACTGCTGATCCAGCTAATCCAGGAGTTCAAAACTACTATAAACCATTAAGCAGGTGTGAGTTGGAGGTGGTTAGAGCTAAACTATTCAGAGCTCTGGCCCTCCAGGAATTGAGTCTCAGAACTTTAACCTATTAACTGCCCAACCAAGAAAAAATGTGGATTGCATTTCTTAACTCCTAATGTCCTTAGTTAACACACTCAATGCATTTTTTCAACACATCCCATCATTTCTAAAATATATCAACCTCTACCAAATTACCAAAATGTATACTGGAATTAATACATATACTATGAAAAATCTGAAAATATTTTATTCAAAATAAACATTTTTGAATACTAAATCATTTTCATTTTTTGAAGTATGCCATAAAATATTTCAGATTCTCATTTAATATGTTTGTTTTTTTTTTAACAATAAAACCAAAATCAAGTGTACCAGTGCAACAGGATTATGTTTGTTAGAATTTTCCAATGCTGTGGGTGTAAACCATTGTTTAAAACAGTCATTCTTTAAATTACTTTTACAGTCATTACTTAAAACAGTAAAAACATGGTCAACTGTTTGGTGGAACAGCAGTCAAAGGGTTGAACACTTAAGTAAAAAAAGAATTTGATTGCCATTTCTATGATTGCTAAGAAAAGTGTGGCATCACCTTACAAGTCAACTTTATTTATATAGTGCTTTATACACATTATAGTATAAATGATCAAATAAATGATAAAATACACAGGGAACAACACTTTAGTTTATATTGCCAATGATAAATGTTGTAAAGGTCATTTTAAAAATACACTGACAAAGCAATCCAAATAAAATGTGCTCAATGAAATAATAAAAAAAAATTAAATGCTATGAATAAGATTAACCACACAATATTTAGTTAATTCAAAGTGGGATTTAAAAAATACTGATTCGATTAAAAAACGAAAAGGTATCTCATCACAAACTTAAAAGTCTGCTTGGGGCATTTACATGAGCCATTTTTAACTAAAAATAGAAAATTTTTATGCTTTTGTCCATTTGGTTACAGCAATGATAAATTATAGCATAAAACAAACCTTTGACAGGTTTCGAAGTGCAAATTTGTCTCTGGGTAAACTATAAAGCCAATGTTGACGTAACATGTTCAGTCTACTGGTATAGGCAAGTTGTTGACATCCAAAACATCATTGCAAGGACTGTGTTTGTGCTGCTTAAAATGCCAAGTCACATTTTCTTTCTTTATGACATTGTTTTGGTGTACCCTTAGGGCCTGTTCACACCAAGACACAATAACTAGAGAAATACAATAAAGATAGAGTTCTTAAAACCCTTCTGAATGTGAAACAATAGACGAGTTCTGTCCTTAGCTGATGTAGAAAAAATATATTGTTGGGATCACTTTCAAAACAATTTTTTTCTCAGCTAATCAATGTGAAAACACTGACAGCCAAATAGATTTACAGTGAAAAGTACTTTTTGTTAACCCCTCTTTTCAAAGATTATTTAAAGATAATGACTGTCTAGAAAAAAAATGGTTATACCATAGGAAAGAATGATAAAAATACATGATGAAAGAAAGAAAAATGAAAAGTTGTTCCAACTGGGCTAACAAGCTTACACAAAAAGTACCTCAGATATCCAGTGATGGTAACTTTGTGCTGACTCCTTTGAAAATGCTGGGACAACTCTTTTTTTTATTTCACAACAATGATTATTGATTGCTGACTTTGTTTGATCAGATTATTTTATATATATATAAAAATTCACTGGTCAGAAGCGCTAATGACATTTGAGGACACCTGCTGGTTACAAGGAGGCAATGACAAGTAAAAAGCATAAACTCAAAATAAACAATTTTATCCAACCCAGCCTCATTCTGATTGCGTACCCCTATATACATTTCTGGAGAGTGCCAAATACGTCCCAGGAGCTATGTTTGCAGTTTTTGTGAATCCACCAGAGGCCGCTGTGTATGCTTTATCAGATCTCAAACTTCTCTCACGAGTGCCGTTCACTCCTGCTTATCTCGCGTAAATCCACCAGAGGCCGCTGTTGACTGACTTACCGACTAACCGACCAATTCCCCCCATTGTTTCTCAATTCCAAGAACGCTGAGAATGGACTTGCGCTCTTGTTAAGACCGGTCTTGCCAAGTTAACTTGGAAGAACGAATTTGGGAGACCACGAGAACAGAGAATGTGTCCTGTGAGAAATGAGATGCTGGTTCTTCTCTGGTCTGTCCTGATGGTCACATGACCTTCACACACTTTTAATGGAAAATTATTTAAACATTACAGCATTCATACAATGAGTTATTATTTTCCACCTTTTCACAATATATACTATGCATAAAAACCCTACAAATGTACATTGCACAATATAAATAAAACAAATTTTATGTCCTCCATTCTTTCGGTCTTGAGTTTTGGAACTAAACTTTGGCAATTGATGATGGCGTGGACACAAGATCGTTCAAGACCACATATTGAGAAACAGCCACAGTGTTTTAAAACCCAACCAACAGTGTTTTCAAAAGCAATCCAGAAAAAGAAAAGCCCTCACAGCAGCCTGATTTTTAACACGTTTTCAGATTTTTCTGCTTTCTCACCCTATTATTTACTTGTTTGTTTTATTTTTTTGTCTTACCTGCTTTCTGGAACCATACTTCGCCAGACTCAAACCCTGTCATCACAGTCAACTTCGCTCTGCATCTCAAATCCTCCAACATACGTATTTGAACATTGGTAACAGCTAAAAGCCATTCATACAGAGGTAATCGGTCAGCTGGTAGCACGAAAAGGAATGGCTTCATACCATCCCGTAGCGTTCATTTTAAAGAGGTTCCGCTGGCTAAATAATTTGCGATCGCCAGAAATGTATATAGGGAGACGTTTTCCGAATGAGCCTATATTGATTTTATCATTCGTCAGAGTGAATGAAGATATATTTATATTCATATTTATGGTTACTGTTCTAGGTGTGAACATACTTAAGACCTTGTTGATCTTTGTGCTACTAACACTACCATATTAATAGTTTACATTTTCTAAATGACAACTACAATGTAAAAAAAGAAGCCACACACAATTAAGTTCCACAGAATTCTTTCATGTAGTCCCAACACAAATTGATTAAGTTAACTTAAAGAATTTAAGTAACAAATTGGTTGTACTAAAAATAAAAATCACAAGAAATATAAGCAACATTTTTTTTTTGAGTGTACAAAATAATTTGCAATTAGTAATACTATAATGGGGTTGTTAATTCTACATTTTAAATATTATAACTGAATACTGTGAA